AGGGGGGGGGGGGAGAGGAATCATACCCCCATTCTCCAGAATCCAGTGGTGCATTGATTCCACTCTCTGCCATGCTGATTCCATTGAGGACTATGCTTTATAATTAAAAAGACTAGACTAGCATTCAGAGGAAAACACAGAGAGAAAAACACGTAAAAATAAATTATTACTCTCTCTCTCTCTATATATATATATATGCGTGTGTGTGCTTGTATCCTTCTATGGTAGAATAATATATCCCTTGTTTGTGCGTTCTTAAGTTCATAAGATCTGATATACAGAAAATGCGAAGAGTTGCACCCTGTTAAGGAAGATTAGCAGATACCTTCTCCCTATGCAGGCTGTTCTTGTAATTAATGCAACTTAATTTTAATGAAAAGGCGTCCACCAAATTGACAAGAAATTTAACGAGCATGAGATGTTTTTATTATGTGACCGCAGTTACCTTATTATCCGTATATGGAATATTTCATTTTCACAAATGTTTGCAATCAACATAAATTTACCGGTGAACTTACCTGCGGAAAAGTACAAATGTATCGCACTTGTGTGGAAGAGTTCAGTCAGTCGCACGGTCAGATAGGAACTTTGAACTTCACTCTGAATTATTTGAGTAACATGGGGAATAGGGTGTTATCAGCTGTTATGCAGAAGTGCACATATCTTTTGGAAGAAAAACTTTGGACTGCATCTAGTTTTCAGTTTTCATGACTCACATTTCAGTTAAAAGTCCCACTGCGACCGAGAAAACACACGTTAATCTGAACTTTAAACAAACAGACCAAAGGATAAATTTACGTTCACGTTTCGAAGCAATAATTGATTTTTATCCACATGTGTGTTGTATTAGAAATAATCCCAGGTTTGTTAAAAAATATATACCTTGACTCTTATTTTGACACCCTAGTATTAGCGAGGGAAGGGCATTCCGGGCGCCGACAATTAAATTAATATGACCATGTAATTTAATTTATCTGGCTGGCTAAATGCTGTTAAAATTAAAGTATGCTGCAAATAAAAAATAAAATAAAAAAAGCAGAGAGAAATATTAGTTTTTTTACATAATTGTGTAAATGTGTTATAAAATCAGTTTTTTTTTTAAAATCAGGGTTATTATACATTTATTATTTATTTTGAAAACAACTCATGAAGAACTATCCCTCTAAAAAATAAAACATTAAAGCTGTAAGTAATGTGTTATTATATGTGACTTTCTTGACATGATAGCAAATTCGTATGATGGCTACATATTGACCATATGAGTCCTTAACCATCTTCAAGAAACGACTAAAAACACATCTGTTCCACCTTTATTTGACCCTCTAACTCTAGCACTTTCTATTCTATTTTAATTTAAATTTAAAAAAACAACAAAAACACTAGCTTTCTATCTTATCTACTTGTTTTTCTTTGTGTGTGTGTGTGTGTGTGCGTGTATATAATATATATGTATATGTATGTATGTGTGTGTGTGTGTGTGTGTGTGTGTGTGTGTGTGTGTGTGTATATATATATATATATATATACAGGTGCATCTCAATAAATTAGAATGTCGTGGAAAAGTTCATTTATTTCAGTAATTCAACTCAAATTGTGAAACTCGTGTATTAAATAAATTCAATGCACACAGACTGAAGTAGTTTAAGTCTTTGGTTCTTTTAATTGTGATGATTTTGTCTCACATTTAACAAAAACCCACCAATTCACTATCTCAACAAATTAGAATATGGTGATTTGACTGCTTTTATTGTCCTCATTTGTAAGTCGCTTTGGATAAAAGTGTCTGCTAAATGACTAAAAATTAAAAAAATAAAATAAATATCAAAAATCGTAAATCTTAATATACAGACAGGCTTTTGTCAACAGTTATGGCTTTTGGCCGTTGTCTTAGATGTAGAAAATAATTTACTGAGGCAGAGTTGTTTGGGTCCTTCATTAGTAGTAGCACCCTTCAGCTTTTTTATTCTATAAGATATGAAAAATGAAAATAATTCAAAAACACCAAACAGTGCAAAATGTGGAGCTCATACTAACTCAGGAAAACTTACCTCGCTGTCCACCTTGCCTGAAGATTCATAGAGCTTCATAATCTGTGTAATTAAAGATACAAAATCATTACATACATGTAAACAAATGTAACAACATGGTATTCAAAAATATTTTTAAAAATATGCATTTCTTGTACACAAGATTTTTTTATTTATTATATTTTTATCAGAACAAGGTACATTGAAAGTATTCAGTGACAAAAACACTTTCATTCTTTTTCCACTTTTTAAGATTTTTTTTGTACACACAAACAATTTTTAATAGTTTTAGTTTACAACACTGGCTAGTTTGGCTTTGCTGTGATACCCATGAAAACACACACACAACCTTTTTAACCCCAGTGGATACAGCTGCCCCCTGCAGAGCAGATTTTGTGAGCCAGCAGGTCTTCTGCTCTTGCTCTCCTTCTGACCAGTCAGACCCATGCACGGAAAAGACAATATAGGTTTGATGGATGTGGGAGAAAATATGCACCACCTGACAGAGAATATGAAAGACTTGGATGAATATCATACACAAGCATTGTAACCAAACGTGCACATCATCGCCGAAGATGCAAATGAAATATTGAGTAAATGTGGATTATTCTAAACCCAAGATGATACGATTTGGGGAAAACATCCACCTCTCCCACAAACTGCACTGCACGAGCGTCTATGGCTGTTTCCAGCAGTTTTTGCATCATGTCACATATCAAGCCATTATATTTATTCTCAGAGACGTCAGCCTCCAAGAGCATGCTGGGTAGCTCCCACATCCCTGCTAAGAGTCCTGCAACACATCCATGAAATCCAAAATCATATTTTTTTTAATGATATTTTCTAGAGCTTGTTCTTTTTCTCATTCACCCAGTTAAAATTATTGTTTCACCTTTGCTTGGTCTTTGAGTGAGCAGATACTCCATCTCTTCTCCAGCTCACTGACGTTCCACTATACAAGTTAGGGTTTGCTCCACATGTGGAGCCTTTTTAACAGGCTTTCTTGGATAATTCTGCACCCCTAGCTGAGGGTCCCAGTCCTCTGATAGACACAAGTCACAGCTGCTAGCAACCCCTGTCAGAGAATGTGAACGTACATTAGACACTGCTATTGATCTGTCGAATCTGATGTATGAATAAAAAGAGAATACTTTGTTTTCACCAGAAGACTTTACAACTTGCAACAATCCTCTAAGTCGGGCACTGACATGTTGAGTTTTGAAACAAGGTTACCTAGAAGTCTTTTGGAGTCAGTCTTTTGTTTAATGCTCACCTACAGTATGAAAGACAAAAGATGATATTAGGTCATTTGACAGTTTTACAAGGAAGTATTTTGGTAAGAGCTGCTCAGCAGTACCTTCCTAAAGGCATGACAGTGGTTTTGAACGGGACACTGGCTGCACAGAGGGGATTTCGGGGTGCAGACTCTAGCCCCTAATTCCATCATAGCCTGATTAAAGTCTCCGGGTCTCTGGGTCAACAAGTGTGTCAGAAATTGTCCTGAAGTAGGGCAATAAATCACAATTAAACACATTTTACAACTTCAATCTAGATTTGCTTAACAGTACATCAACTTGATGGATCTTTCAGTACCACAAAGCATCTGTTACAACAGGACTGGTGCCGTTTGCTCCTATGGCTCGAACGTGACACAGAACTCGAATGACATTTCCATCAACTGCACCTGTCACCTGGAGAACAACAAACACCATTGCAACAAATAAATACAAGTTCAAGTCAAGTTCAAGTTGAGCTTTATTGTCATTCTGCTACATGTGGGGACATACAGTGGAACGAAAGAACAGCATTCTAACATAGGAGTCTTTATTTTCTAAATACACACTAAATACACAGCATTTAGTGCTAAGTATTCACGGTGTTTAATACCCCGACAATGCAATGCTGCCCAAATTGATCTGTGGTACGTTATCAGTGGATCACACAAGAAAAAAAATCATTCTATTAAAGGAGTAGTTCACCCAAAGACAGGCCATTAAAGATGTAGAGGAGTTTGTTTTATTTAGCATTAGTAATCCACACGACTCCTGTCCATCAATTAATGTCTTGTGAAGAAAAGAACTGTGTGCTTATAATAAACAAATCCATCATTAAGATGCTTTTAACTTCAAACTGTTGCTTCAAGCTAAAATACGAGTCCTCCATTCATAATATTGCTTTCTCCAGTGAGAAAGTGATCTTGACTGAATCAGGAGAAAAATACGTGTAAATAAAGCACCGTTTACAAGTGAAAACAGTCCAAAACAGTTCTAAACAAATACATGGTTTAACATGTGAGAGGACAACAGGGGATGGACAACAGTTTGAAGTTAAAAATGCCTTCATGATGGATTTGTTTTTTACAAACATGCAGCTTTTCACTTCACAAGATAATTACCTTCACAGATTTATGGACTGGAGTTGTGTGAATCACTTGTGGATTATTGTGATGTTTTTATCAGTTGTTTGAACTCTCATTTTGATGGCACCCATTCACTGTAGAGGATCCATTGGTGAGCGAGTGATGTAATGCTAAATGTCTGATCAAATCAAATATAATCAACAAAACAAAGTTACCTGTCCAAGTGCTATAGAACTGATCGCCACGGCGGTGTAACGTCCAACCCCAGGCAGCTGTTTCAGTAGTCCTGCTGTGGTCTTTGGCATCTGTCCATCCAGTTCCGATACTACCTATTGCAAGAATAAAAAAAAATGTATGTTGTGCAGACGTGCAGATTACATAAATATATTAAAGCAAATCTTAAGTAATGCAGAATTTAGATAAATCTTATATAATTTCTGCATTACTGTTTAAACCTACTTTCTGAGCACCTTCATGCAGCCTGCGTCCTCGAGAGTAGTATCCAAGACCCGGCCACATTTGGTTCACTTCCTACAGGGAGACAATAATGCACCGCTGTCAGATGCTCACTATGTCTCTGTCTGTTTATGTCTATGGATTTAATTATCACCTCCAGTGTGGCTGCAGCAAGTTTTTCCACAGTCGGCCATCTCTAAAAATAAAGACGCAGAAACAGCATGAAATGTGGCATTTCAGAGGTTCTGTGAGAGGAGTAGTCAGACAGCTCGCCTACCTTCATCCATCTGTTATAGTAGTCTATCATTGTGGCAACTTGAGTCTGCTCTCACATGATCTCTGAGACCCACTGAGAACGGCATGAGAAAAAATGTATAAAATAAAAAAAAGATTTAGGTTATAATCATCGTAACATTAAAACACTTTTCTCATACCTCCATATGTCCTGTTATTAACATCTGGTTCTGTCATAGCCTGTATGGATTACAACACAAAAACAAAAATGCAACCCTCAAGCTAAATGATCTAACACAGTTCACCCCACAGCCAACATTTTGGGGAAAATGCTTAATTTAATACTTTACTGCTAATCCTTAACTAAATAATTTATGTGGTTTTATATAGACAATACATATATATATACATATTTTTAGGTCTACAATAAAACATGTTCTTCCTGCAATGCATTAAATGTGCTTTAACATGTATAAAAACTAGCATGGAAAAGCTGATCACTTCTCTCACGAGCATCTCTCAGGCAGCTGTATAGGATGGGCCCAAAAAGCATGGTCACGTGACAAAAATTAAGAATATCCGATGCCTTTACCAATGTCCTCCAGGGAAGCTCTCTCTTATTCTGAT